AGGATGGATGTGAATTAGAATCAGCACTGACACCCTGATTGCCACCATCAGCAGACTGCTGTACTCGGCGTTTTGCACCGCCCATCAGCTCTGGGAAGCTTGGCTGCTATTCCACGTTGTGCCACACGAGGGCACTCTTACTGCGCTGATGCAGCACGCCACATGCCACCAGACCCGTCAAGCTATCCAGAGACATTCCACAGATCGAAGAGTTATGTTGCCCATGTTGGCAAAGAAATTGGCCCGTCTTCTGCGCAGTGTGGTGGAAGCAAAACACTGATCTGAATTATATTGCATCGTTTGGAATCAATGCCATAAAACTCTTAATAGATGTCATAACTTTCCACTAAGGCTATGTACACAACCATGCAATAAATCGTTATCAAGCACTGTGCAGAAAGTGCAACAGCCTTGTTGCCAATATGCCAGATAGACGCCCTGAGAGGGAATAATCCCCATGCAGTAGGGGGCGCTGTGACGCTACCTTGTTCCCAGAGGGAGGAGGGTGCTGGTAGGTCTTGAGCAGCTGGGAGAGGGACTTGCAGACGTTCTTCTCCTTCACTGTGGGCAGCAGGGTCAGGGGCAGGAAGGGCTCCAGGCCCCACTCCTTCCTGGGCAAACCGCGGGGAGAGAGAGGAAGAGGGCTTCAGGCTCACACTACATATAGGCCTCTTGTACAGGGTGCTAATGGAATCAGTGGACCTGTTCAATCTACATTATTGTTAAACGTGTGCACTGGAGGGCAGCAAAGCTTGGGAACATACTCATAGCACCATAGAGAACATGTTCCCTGGACACTGATTTGTATCTCTCCTTCCGTATATGCAGTCCATCACAGAACAGTGGAGACGCTGGTGCAGCGCCCCCTGGTGTTGTCCATGAGAAACTGTTTGCATAATGCCGCGATATGAAAAGACCAGCTCAATCTGTGCCCATTCGTTTCCAGGGCATCAAACCTGCCATTTTCAGCCTCGCTCAAATCCAAGAGGACGTAACCCTGGACATCATGCCTCAGGCTGCGTGGAAGAAAAGAGCAGTGAAGTGTCCGAGCGTGCCAATTCGGCAACCCTCTACAGCCCAGAGCAGACTCCCTGCCACGAGCTACCCAGCGCCCTCTAATGGTGGAACGTTGCTCTGCCCCCTGCCTCGGCCCGTGAGAGGCTGCCTCGGGAGTAAAATCGCCGGAGCAGGCCTGTCTGCCTGTCCAGAGCTCAGGGTGCATCGTCAAACTGTACAGTGGCTATTGAACGTATAGGCAGGATTCCCCTCCCTGCTTGTATCAAAAACTAGTGACAGGTAATACAGCCGCTACACCAAAGCACTCGACAGGCCACTGGCACGCACTGTCATTGCTTTCTCTGTGCTTTCTGCAAGGCAAGACGTCGAGGGGCAGAGGTCTGCCTTGCTCTGCTTGAGTAGGAAAATATTTGGGATCTTGCGTGCAAGCACCCCCCAACCCAGGAACCTTTGCGCAGCTGGCTGGAATAGTGGTTAGGAGCACAGGGCTCTGCACAAGGAGGGTCGTGGGTTCGAGTCCCAGAGGTGGGTCCCCAGGCACGTTCTCGCACGCGAGGAGGCGTCCCCAGCTGGGGTGTCTGGAGGAGTACAGGATTAGGCTGCTCGGCACTCACTCTACGTGCTTGAGGGAGATCTTCTGGTTGGGCCTGGCCGCCGACACGGTGATGTAGATGTGAAGAGCCGCCAGCTTCAGCGTGATGTCAGACTTCCAGTCCGC